ACCCCCTCCTTATCCGTTGTTTATGAGTCTATTGCATTTAGTACCCATGCATTATATTGAATTGCTAAAAAAAGGTCCCCATGTTATTATAATAGCGACAATCCCCCTATAATGCCTTTATTTTAGCATACAACCCCCTAAATGGTGAGGTCTTCGGGGGTAGTTTCTAAAAAACTAAAAAGTTGCATTATAGAGGGTTTTGCTAATATTAATAAAATGATATTTTTTTTGATAATTAGAGTAAACAGAGGGTTGCTGAATGCAAAAATCCTCCTATAATGCATTTATTTAAACATACAATCCCTTAAATGGTGAGGTTTTAGCTTTTAGGGGGTAGTTTGCAAAAATAAGTTGAATTATAGCGGTGTTTGTTTGCTAATAGTAATAACACGAGGACTTGCTTGACAATTATAGCACTGGGGGTGCTGAATGCAATAAACCCCAATTATTTGTGGAAAAAAATGTGTAATGCTGCTTTTGTTTGATCGACACAGGCAAAGCTTATCGATCCATCTTGCAAAATTGAAACTTTCTTGAACAAGCTGCTGGACCCACCCATAATTGAGACATTACAAAACGCAATCACCGTTCTTCAAGACATAGGCGCACTGACCCCCGAGGAGAAACTCACACTACTCGGTGAGAAGTTCGGATCTCTGCCTACCCATCCAGTAACGAGCAAGATGCTGTTTCTCGCGATACTATTGAACTGCCTGGGCCCCGCTTTGACTCTAGCCTGTGCTTCCGAATATAGAGACCCATTCATCATACCCATGCTACCCGAACAAAGAAAGAAAGCCGATACTGCAATATCTGAGCTGGCTTCGTTTTACGGTGGGCATGGCGACCAATTATCTGTCGTGGCGGCTTTCGAGTGTTGGGAAATGGCTAAGTCAAAAGGCGAAGAAGCTCGTTTTTGTTCGCAGTACTTCATTTCTTCGGGCACTATGGTTATGCTATCGGGTATGCGAAAGCAGCTCGAAAGGGAGCTCTTTAGGAATGGGTTTTTGCCAAAGGATTCGTCTCGTTTTAGTAGTAATGCGCGTGAGCCTGGGATATTGCATGCTGTGCTTGTTGGGGGTTTGTATCCAATGGTGGGGAGGGTGATTTCAAAGGGTAAGAAGTTTGTTGTGGAGACTTCGGATGGGAATAAGGTTAGGTTGCACCCTCATTCGGTCAATTCGAGGCTGTTGTTCAAGAATTGTACTAGTCAGCCTTTTGTTATGTTTGATGAGATCACTCGTGGAGATGCTGGGCTTTACATTAGGAAATCTAATGTTGTGGGCTCGCTTCCGCTTTTGTTGTTAGCCAATGAGATGGTAGTTGCTCCGACATGTGAAAATGATGGTGATGGGAATGGGAATGGTGGTGGTGATGGGAATGGAAAAGGTGACGTGGATGGTGATGGGAATGGGAAAGGTGGCGTGGATGGTGATGGGAATGGGAAAGGTGACGTGGATGGTGATGGGAAAGGGAATGGTGATGGGGATGGGAATGGGGATGGTGATGGGGATAGTGATGGTGATAATAGCAACTGTGAAGATGATGATGGTAGTGATGAGGATGAAGAAGAGATTACCGATTTGTCGGAATCGAAGCAAGGGGAGAAAATAATGTCTTCGCCGGAAAATGATGTTAAGGCTGTCATTGATCGGTGGCTACCTTTTGGGTGCAAAGCGCTCGATGTTGCTCAAATTTACTGTCTGAGGGAGAGGCTATCAGCGGCAATTTTGTATAAAGTAATTCTTCGTCTTCATATCTCCTTTTTCTTTTTCCCTTTAAATTAGTCTAGGAGTGAATTGCAAAAAACTCCCGTTATGTTTTCTCGAATTGCTAAAAAGAAAACGTGTCTTGTTATTTTTATTAGTGTAAATCCCCATATTCGTTTGACTTTTGACTTTCAATATTACGGGGGTTTATGTTGTGATAAAAACAGCGGACGGTTTTTTTTTTTTTTTTTTTTTTAACAATTAGAGTAAATACAAGGGTGTCGAATATGTAAAAAAACAGGGTAAATCTTGATTTTTTTTTTCTTTTCTTTTTAGGTGACACATTCGAATGAAGAACTTCCGGAACATTTGGAGGCGTCTGTATACGCAATCGCAAGTATATTAGCGAATGATGGAATGAGCGGTGTCTCTTTGCCAACTGAGCCAGTGGACTCTCTCACTACAAGTGTCGGTGATGCTGATATTGGAGGAGATGCCAAGAAAACCACCGCTACAACTAAAGAGCTGCCCAAAAGTTATCTCAAGTCTTTAATGTATCGCGGTAGGCCCCACAACAACAGCCCGGCTCCGCCACCTCAGCAAAACTACCCGGCTCCGCCACATCAGCAAAACTACCCGGCTCCGCCACGTCAGCAAAACTACCCGGCTCCACCACGTCAACAAAACTACCCGCCACAGTATCATCAGTACAGACAACCTGTAAGTCGCTTCCACACGCCTCCCTCGGAAAGTTACCCTGTGACTGCGCACGGAATAGCACAAGAACGGGGAATCTTTCCAAAACGACGACGTGGACAACACTGGTAATGGTCTTAGATGAATCTTTTTTTTTTTCTTTTTTTCTTTTTTCTAATTTAATTTTCCCTCAAGACTATATTATTCGTGTTATAGTTTTTAATATATAATCTTATAATCTTTAACGATTATGAAATCTATTTCCCTTGGGTGAAGACTATCGATTGTCGACAAATAGGGGGGCTGTGCTTTTGGTTCTTTAGTGCATAATTGATTTATGCATTATTAGTATTTTGAGATTTTTGGGTTCGGTTTTGGTTCCGTATATAGGATATATATGCGGTTCGTCATTTATACAGTTTATGTACGTTGTATGATTATTTCGTTTTCGTCGATGAACATGGATTATTTATAATACAATGGACATCAATTCTGCTGGATAATCTTGTGCCAAAAAACCATGTTTGGGAGGTGGTTTATAATTTTATTTAATTACTTTGAAAGCTATAAATGTTTTTAGGGTAAATTCCACTTTACCCCCTTTACTCTGCCCAAGAACCACTTTACCCCCTCGTACTCTTAATTTCATCGATTTAACCCCTTGTACTTGTATAATTTCCCAATACAACCCTCTTCGTCAACTTTTTTCGATTTTGACTCTGACGCCATTTGGTCAAGAGTCAAAATATTGACGTAAATATTGAATTTTTTCGATTTTGACTCTCGAGATTAGAAAAGAGAAAGTTTCACACATTCATATATTTTTTTCTTTGCACTGGGTGGAATCGATCAATTTTTGGGTCTTGATTTTTACTAAGTTAGGGGTTCAATTTGGGGATATCTTGGAAGGGGAAGTGGTGGGAGAAGAAGAAATGACAATATTGACGGAGGAGAAACGACGCGTTATAGGCAGTGGCAATTTTGTAATTTACAGAGTTGACCAAATGGCGTTATAGTCAAAATTGACAAAAATTGAAGGAAATGGCTGTATTGGGAAATTGTACAAGTACAAGGGGGTAAATCGATAAAATTGAGAGTACGAGGGGTAAAGTGACTCTCAGGCAGAGTACGAGGGGTAAAGTGGAATTTACCCATGTTTTTATTATTAGTTATATTAGTTACATTATTAGCTTGAGCACACTATAGTATTTAATAGAATTTATATGCATTAATTATTGAATTACATAATTGCCCTATGGAAGAGTGTAGGTATATGTTACTATTAAGTCATTAACATCCTTATTTATAGCATCCATCTAATCTCTCTTGGTCCCTATTTACATTATATGTTCAATTATTTTTCTATATATATAATGTGTGTGTGAGTGAACTTTAATACAAGTATATATACAAAATAATGAAATAATATTCCTCTTAAAATCGTAATTATAAGTTTCGTATTCGAGATCATGCTAACTTGGCTTGTATAAGAATAATTTTATAGAGGCAATAGTATCTTCACTTTTCGATAAGAAAAGTACCCAAATCGAACATTTTTCCTTCTTCTACCCCCGAGAGGCATTTTCTTGAATATTCTTATTAATAATAATTTAGTTATTCAGTATCTATATTTTTACTAAATAGAAAATGGAGTCAAATATTTCCAACTCTTTCTCTAAAATATTAGTCTTTGTCTATATAGATTATATTATTCCAAGAAGAAAGATTATTCTTCTTTTGATGCCATAACTTTTTTTATTCATCAAATTATGTTACCCCTTTTATTATTATTATTATTATTAAAAAAAATTCTTGACATAATCAATTATATCATGGCACTTGGTTGATGTTCTTTGGTCCAAGTGACCAATTAAATAAAGTAGTAATTAATTAAAATAATAGTGCCCACTTGTCTTTTTTTTTTTTTTTTTAAATAATCAATCTTAGACAAGGTCCAGTGTCTCGAGATCAGTAATACTACTTTAAAATACTGATTAAACTAATCAATTAATTATTACACTCTAATCTATGATTTATTAAACTAATGGGTCCATGTGTGAAGGCATCCTATAGCACGAAATGCCCATTATAATGAGTTGGATCTAACCCAAGGGTAGTTCCGGAAATTGCATCTAAAAAAAGATGAGTATGAATTTTGTTTTTAAGATTCAATTCAAATTATATTGAAAGATTTGTTGAATGCTTTTCAAACTATGTAGCACGAAAACTTTAATTTTTCAACGGATCCGAGTTCTGTAACGAGGACACCTGCCGGAAATTTTATGAGTTATTTTGTAATTTATGAAAAGTTAGAAACATGTTTGAATTGTTGGTAATATTCAACTATAATATTCAATTGTCAATTGATAGTTGATAATGATATTTATTTTGAATATAGTTGTATGGAAATATATATAATTTTTTTTATATATATATTTATTTACATAACATATTTATAAATATACCCATATACTTTTAATATTTACACATTTCCTCAAGTTCCTGTATTTCTATTTTGGCCGTTTTGCCTGTGTCCATATATCGTCGTTTCCGTATCCGTGCTGCATATATTTCAAATAATAACGTATCATATAGGTAGTGTTTGCAAATGCTTTTTGAAAGTGATTATACGGTTTTTTTTTTTTTTTGCTCATAATCTGTTTTTAGGTGTTTGCAAAATCAACTTTTGCTTTTGCTTCTCTTAAAATAATATGCTTTAAGCTATTTTTTTAAAAGCACCCCTAACCCTGTTTTTTCAATTTTAGTTCATTTTCCGAAATATTTGCAAACACTCACAACTTTTAGAAATAAGTACTTAAAACTAACTTAAATCATAATCACTAACTTTTGCTTTTAAATAATCATTTGCAAACACCATTATAGTAGATTTTGAATTACTATAAATTATTAAGAATTATTCCATAACTCCATTTTTAACTAGCTTAGATAAATTCCCCAAAATACCCCTAGATTCAATTTTTTTCTTCAACAAATCAAATCTTCTCAAGTTCTCCTCATTTTCCCATATTATACGCAACCCCCCTTAATAATATCAACTTCCACTTTCAACCCATAGTATTACATATTCCATGCTGCCGAGTACTCCTCCGCCGCCGCCCGACCACCACCACCACCACCCGAAGAAACCCAAAGAACTCAGAACCACCCTCCACTCCGTCAAATCCCACATCTCCGCCCACCACTGTGCATGGCTCTCCGCCACCGTCCTCCTACAGCTCCTAATCATCCTCTTCCTCAGCCGCGCCTCTCCTCCGCCGCCTCCCCCCTCCGTCCACCACCACCACTTCGAATCCGCCGATGAAGATCGAACCTGCAAAAACGGACGGATATACGTCTACGATCTCCCCCCGATGCTCAACAAAGACCTCCTCGAAAACTGCCACGACATAGACCCATGGAGCTCCCGCTGCACCGCCGTCTCCAACGGCGGATTCGGTCCTCCCGCCACCGGCCTCTCCGGCGTCGTTCCGGCGAACCTCACCCCCGCCTGGTACTGGACCGACATGTACGCCGCCGAGGTGATCTACCACGACCGTATGAACAGCTACAAGTGCAGAACCCTAGATCGGAACCAAGCGACGGCGTTCTACATCCCCTTCTACGCCGGACTCGCCGTCGGAAAATTCCTCTGGTTCAACTACACCTCCAAGCACCGCGATTTCCACGCCGCCGAGATGCTGAGCTGGGTCTCGAATCAGGACCCGTGGAAAAAGTCAAACGGGTCGGATCACTTCATCATGCTGGGTCGGTTAACGTGGGACTTCCGTCGACTAACGGACGATAACGGCGAGTGGGGCACCAAGTTCATCTACATGCCGTTAATGAAGAACGTCCTCCGTTTAGCCGTTGAGAAAAGTCAATGGGACGACTTAGAAATCAGCATACCTTACCCAACATCCTTCCACCCGAGATCCGAACCCGATATCCGACAATGGCAAACCCTAATCCGAACCCGTAAACGATCGAGTCTTTTCACCTTCGTCGGGGCGACCCGGAAAAAAATCCGGAACGATTTCCGTGGCGTACTAATGAATTACTGCAAGACCGAGTCGGCCGCCTGTCGGGTAGTCGACTGCTCCGTCGCGCGGTGCTACGACGGGGCGCCGGCTATACTCGAGGCGTTTCTCGACTCGGATTTTTGCCTGCAGCCGAAAGGGGACGGGTTTACCCGCAGATCCGCTTTCGACTGCATGCTGGCGGGGTCAATCCCCGTCTTTTTCTGGAGGGGGAGCTTCGAGTATCAATACGAGTGGCATTTGCCTCGCGACGCGTTGACTTACTCCGTTTTTATCGATCACGGAAACGTTAGGAACGATACTTCGATCATTAGGAACGTGTTGGAGAAGTTTAGTAGAGAGGATATCGAGAAGATGAGAGAGAAAATCATCGATTTCTTGCCGAGGTTGTTGTATTCTCGATCGAATACGGATTTAGGAAGCGTCGAAGACGCCTTCGATGTAGCTATGGATGGTGTGTTGAGAAGGTTTAAGCAACAAAAAATGGACACAAAATTAAAAGGTTAGATTAGATTTTTTTGGACTTTTTTTTTAATTACAATTATAATTTTTTTGTAATGATATATCATATTGTTTTTCAATTCTTATATACTTCAATTTGTTGTATAGTTTTTCTTTGATCCATTTTGAAATAATACTTGATTAGATTTTTGTTTTTTGGATCTTTCATTTATGGATATACCAAATGTATTCTTCAAGCTTTTAATTATGAACTTTGAATAAAAAGTATCAACTTTTTTTTGCCTTTAATTTGTCAATTTTGGTTTTGAGTGCTTTATCTTCTTTATTCTTTTCTTGTTGTAAGAGGGTTCACTATTCACATAGTGGAGGAGTGTTTATTAAGTTTAAAATGTTTTTTTATTTTTATTTTTTTTTATTTTTTTATGTGTAGGGTCTTTTAGTAATTAAACAATTGACTTTTTTTAATTAATTATTTGTTACTATAATCTATATACATTTGATTGTGATGCATACATGTATGAAAAAGTTGGCTGCCTAAATTTGACTACTAAATTGAGATGATCAAAATTCAAAAGTCTTTCATCCATCCTTGATTAGTGGGACTAAATTCCATTTTTTTATTCGCATAAAATATAAAATATATAATAATAAGGGCAAATTACGGCCACCCTCATGAGGTATGACTAAATTACGAAAAAAATTCTCTTGTTTGGGTAATTACAGCTACACCCTTCTAAATATTTTTACATAATGTAATTTGGTTATTTATCGAACCATATCGTATATTGAATATTCAGTTCGGTAAACGGTATAAAATGTTGGCGTACCAAAATTTCGGTTCGATTTTACCGATTTAACATCCCTAAATTATCTCTAGAGGGATATTTTTGTAAGATAATACATAGTTGAGAGGGTGGCTGTATAATTACCCAAATAGAAGGGGATTTTTTTTTCGTAATTTGACTATAACTCAGGGTTAACCATAATTTGCTCTAATAATATTGATGTTATAACTGTAATTGTGAGAAACAAATATTGGATCGAAAACCAAAATTTATATATATTCCAACTCATCCAATAAAGTTAGGAAAAATCAGATATCGAAATTTTGCAGAGTCGGAAATTCTCGAATTCGAATCGAGAATTCCGTTCCATTTCTTCCCTTAATTCAAAATTTATAAGCCATGTAAATAAGATACAATTTCTTTTAATATCTTCTATATTTAAAATTGAGTTGATCCTATAATTTTCTATAAGTAGTTGTATATATGAATGAAATAGTTGGGTATATTTGTCACCATCCCAATAATATATAGTGACAAAAACAAATAAAGTTGGGACCAAAAAGCCACACAAAGAAGACGAAATTGCCAGCTTATAAGAAAATAATAAAACGTGCACGTCGTAATCAATTATTATTATTAAGAAAATTAAATTAAGTGTTAATTAGTACAATAAATATTTAATATATTATCATTGAAAAAAAAAGTTAAATATTTTATCATTGACGAAAAAGTAAATAAAAAATTAAAAAGTTTGCTGGATCCATACTTCAAGGTTGTGTTTCTACATCGATGATTGTGTGTCTACGTGGCCGAAGCATAGCCAACGATCTGTTTTGTAAAGAAAATTAATAAATGGTACAATTTTTTAAAGGGGCTTACTATTCATAGTGTAATTTTTTTTCCGATTAAAGTGCAAAATAATTCATTTGTCAGAAATCCTATAACTTGTTTCCAAATTCTCTCAAACTTACGAATTTTTAAACTTACCAAATCGTCATTTTTTTCCGATAATATCAATAAGAACACAATAATTATCAATACGGAAGAAACCTACTTCGATTTTGAGATAAAGAACGTATTTTCTTTTTATCGAATTTTGACATTTTTATGCATTTTGTGTTGTATTGCACGGAAATGCATAAAAAAACATAAATTTATGGTTTCGGGTATCGTAAAAAATCACTATTCCGTGCTTCTTTGCACGAATTGCCTTCATCCATTCCGTGTTAGGGAATACGAAATGTTCATGCACGAAATATAGTTGGAAAAGAGTTTGAGAGAATTGTGGTTTTTTTCTTTAAAAATTACAAATGAAATAAAGTCGCAAGGTAGTAAAATATGTTCTATGAATAGCATTTCAGTTTTTTAAAATACTATATTTTTTTCTTCTAAGAAGAACATGGTAAAGCTTCATTTTTATTTCAGACATTTTTTTAAATAATTTTTTTAAGTAACTCAATGGGACTTTTTGTACGCGCTTTGTACGCTCGAAATTAAGTTAAAGGGTAGTAAAAAGTAATAATTTAATTTATTATCTCGCACCCTGAAAAGAAAAACCAATAAGAATAAAATTGCCATCGTTAAGATTTAAAAATTCAATTCTGGGTGCAAAGTGCAAAATGCAATTTTTTAAGGGTGTTAAGTGGGATTAAGCCAAACAGAAATTATATTTTTCATTCTAAACTTCGTCAACGAAAAACCATCAGTATGTTGGTCGACTATGAATTTAACCATTTGTTTAACTATCGACCTATACAACGGGTTCATATAATAATGACTCTCTTGAAGTTCGTCTTTAGTATACTTCGACAAGGGCATTTCGGGAACATTTCGTGACTTCAACTTGTTAATATACTTCTCAAGTGTAAGTTTATACCTTTGATGAAACATTGTTTTTTCTTTCTCATCATAAAACATATACTTAATATAGTTATGATGAGATAACTCAACAGCACGGTTGTAGTATTTAAGATCATTACTTAACTTGTGTGCCGAAACTGGTAAATTTTAAAAGACGTTTATATATTGTTCTTTAACCTTTCTCAATTTATATCTGATATAGCTTAAAGATACTACTTGCATACGCTAATATCAGACAGTTCCTTTTTGTAGCATATGTTACAAATACAAATTGCTGGAAAATTAATAATATTCTTCTTTTTCTCCGAAAGAGAGAAAATAATTCACTCATTACAAAACATGAAATCAACATAACAATCTTTAATTAAAAGTTACAAATAGTACAAATTCTAAACTTCAATGATGTCGTACAAATGGTGACAAACACGCGTCCTTAGCCAATGCCCACTGGATTGAATGTAGTTCCGGACCGAAGACACATATGATCATCCTTTCAAGATCAAGGTCAGTCATCGGAACGTTACGGGGTACATTCTCTCTGAGGTGCACCGCGAGATTACGGCAACACCTCAACAAACTTGTTTTCACTCGATAACCAATAGGAAACTCGTTGTTATAACAGATGTAATCATAACCACGACTTCTATTATTAAGGCACATATCATTATGCTTATTAAAGCATTTGTCTACGGGTCGCTCATTGCTTATATCAACATTGAACCTCGTGTTTCAGTTGTTACACGTGATCATGTCATTAATAGCAGATCCGTAGAAAGGATTAAAATGATAATCGAGAAATGACGCTCTATCGTGACAAGAGATGATGAACTGCACTGACTCCCTTGGCGACATGATCGCCAAATGATGTAGGAGAACCAATCCACCATTTTGGCTTCAAATGAAATAATGTTTACATTAAATGATAATAAAAATATAAACACAAAAAAGGGAACTCATACTAGTATATAATTTTAGGTATATGTTACCTCTTGCTAGACACGGCCACGGGCCGGTTTTGGGCCCGGAATCGTCCCGAACCGGCCCGTTGACAGCCCAAACCAGCCCGTTGACCGAGTGAACCGGTCCGGACCCGTGAACCGGTCCGGACCCGTGAACCGGCCCGTCCTACCCGGGACGGGCCCGAAATTGTGAACCGTGAACCGCCGGGCCGGCCCGGCGGTTCACCCGGATTAAAAAAAAAAAAAAAAATCAAAAACATTCAAAAAAAAGAAAAGCAAATAACGGCTAGTGAACCGGCCGTTATTTATTTTTTTTTGAATTTTTGTCCCCCCCAATTTTTCAAAAAATATTTCAAAAAATCATTTAAAATTCGAAATTTTTAAAATTTTGAATTTAAAATTAAGTTCAAGTCTTTTCATTTATTTCTTTTTCCTTATTCTATTTAAAAGTACTTCTTTTAATTTACTTATTCATAAAATATTTCAAAAAATCATTTTAAATTCGAAATTTTTAAAATTTTGAATTTAAAATTAAGTTCAAGTCTTTTCAATTATTTCCTTTTTCCCTTTTCTATTTAAAAGTACTTCTTTTAATTTACTTATTCACAAAATATTTCAAAAAAAGAAAAAAAAACAATTCAAAATTTCCGGGCCGACCCGGAACCGGCCCGGATAGGCCCGGAACCGGCCCGCTGAACCGCCCATACTACGGGCCGGTTCCGGTTCCGGAAAATGTGAACCGTGAACCGGTTTGAACCGGCCCGAACCGGCCCGTGGCCGTGTCTACCTCTTGCCATCAAGATTACCCATCACTGTGAGAAACTCGTCTAGGTCCGGCTGTTGGACTTCGCCGAATATTGTTTTAACTATTTTAGACAAACATAAGAAATCCTCTTTCCGTGTGGCTTATTTCCCGTGGCTTCTGAGCCAGCATGGAATCCAACATCAAAAAACTTTAGCACATCCTCTACGAATACTATATTTTTCATTCTAAACTTCGTCAACGAAAAACCATCAGTATGTTGGTCGACTATGAATTTAACCATTTGTTTAACTATCGACCTATACAACGGGTTCATATAATAATGACTCTCTTGAAGTTCGTCTTTAGTATACTTCGACAAGGGCATTTCGGGAACATTTCATGACTTCAACTTCTTAATATACTTCTCAAAGTGTAAGTTTATACCTTTGATGAAACATTGCTTTTTCTTTCTCATCATAAAACATATACTTAATATAGTTATGATGAGATAACTCAACAGCACGGTTGTAATATTTAAGATCATTACTTAACTTGTGTGCCGAAACTGGTGTATTTGTTTTGGTCAACTTAGCTAATTTGTTCTCACTCCGATACGTATTTGTAAGAGATGACTGCTTTTTTTTCTTCCATTCTGCCTAGGGGTGGAAATCGGAACAAAATTTCCGATTTCCGCCGAATCCGATCCGAAGAATTCCGATTTTGGAACGATTTTTTCAATTCCAAATTCCGAAATTCCGAATTCCGAAAATTCCGAAAAAAATCGGATCGGAATCGGAAATACATATCAAAATTTCGGAATTTCCGAATTCCGATCCGAAAGTAGTTCCGATTTTTTCCGAAATATTTCCGATTATTTCCGATATTTTCCAATAGTTTTCCAATGTTTTCCGAATATTTATTAATTATTATATATAAATATATTAATATACACGTTGACTGCCTTGCAAGTGACTATGCGCTTCATTACCTTTTCCTTCCTTTTCTTTTTCTTTTTTTCTTTTTCTTTTTCTTTTATTTTTTAAGATTCAATTATTTTATTCAAGATAACCCTAAATCACTTTTCATTTACAACTTCATTTTCATCCGCCGCTTCTTCCGTTTCTTTACTTTCTGCCTCTTTCTCCCATTTTTTCTTCAAAATTAAATCTTTAATCTTTGCCCAAGATCTCTTCTTAAAATACACAGATCTTTTGCTGAAGGTATTGTTCACGGAAGAAAGATGGTGAAATATGAAGTTTTATTTGGCATGGATTTTGTTCTCGTTTCTAGGTCTTGTCTCTTCAAATTTATTTTATTCTTTTTGTCTGCTTTTTGTTATTTTTGTTACACGTTTGATTTATAACTTTTGATTCGATTTATGAAACCTTTTGATTGTGAAAATATTTTAGCATTGTTTTCTACTTTTGCATTGATTTTACTGACTATAATAAAAAACTTCTTGGAACAAAATTTCCGAAAATTTCCGATTTTCCGAAATTTCTAAAAAATCGGAATCGGAATCAGA